GCGGGAACCGGTGCACTATAGTGCATGGTTAAGGGTTGTACGAACTGAACTGAACTGGTCCATGCAATTGTCCACTTTTCTGTCCAACGAATTCGTCTCATATCGTAAAGAGTTACTCCGTAAAATGTATTGGCCACCACCCTAAGTGTATCTGGGCAAGCAAATTCTACAGTCAGTGATTGAATTGAAAAATGTATAATCTCCCATTTTTTCAAGGGAAATCTGCCACCTACCAGTTACTTTGTTCATAGTCCATTTGTTTCGACCACAGTGCATCTACATGTGGCAAAAAGGATGCAACAAGGCGACCCGATCATTATCGATTTCACTTCAGTGATTCCAATCAGTTGAAGATGACAAATCATTCGATCCAAATGCTGATGAATCAGTGATGCATTTGTGTGTGTGTGTGTGTGTGTGTCTGTGTGTCTGTGAGGTGGGTGGGTGGGGTAGGCAGTCACTGAACCGTCAGCATCACGTGACTTGAACCTCAGTTGTCTTGGCTGTCCTAACCTGGACGCAGTTCGCAATTGAGGTCACATACACACACACCCGTTGATTGTTGGCACGCGCCGCTGACCTCGGATGCGCGTGATTTGTTCGCGCAGTTTTCAGTCCCGGATCAAATGTGATTCTGTGGTGTGCTATTGAATCATCAGACCAAATCGTCTCGGCTGCATGTCATGGTGACCAGTACGTGGGGTACGCAACACCTAGCCAGAAACAGGCCATTTAGACTGAAATTTGTTTCAGGGACGTGTTTCACCAAGTGTCTGAGAGATTGATAGGACCGAGGACTGTCTTCTATCCAACTATTTTACTGGTACAAACCACTAGCTTGGGAAAGTCTTCATCTAAACCCTTGGTCAGCAAATCTAGGGTTCTTCAAGGAGCTGTGCTATCCCCATACTTATTTGCCACTTATATTTGTGATATTCCCTGTGTTTCTCCTGCACGCATTTTGAAATGTGCAGATGAAGTCGTGTTGTGCCCCATTCCTTCTTACTCCGAACAAAGCTCCTTCACCGACAATCTTGATCAAATTCAGTCATTCTCCTCATCATCAGGGCTAACCCTAAACCCCAGTAAATGTGTTGAGTGTTTATATAACTTTGCTCGCTCCCCATATTCGACAGACTCCACAGTAATTAATAACAGTCCTTTATCCGGGCTGAACTCTGTCAGATATCTTGGTGTAACCATAGATAGCAATCTTCATTGGTTTACCCACATCCACAACTACATTGATAAACTGTGGCGCGTATCATTTCAAATTAGAAAGCTCAGGCAGTTTCGCGCATCCCAGTCAGTTATTTCTACCTTGGTTTATCAGTGAGTTTTCCCTATCTTACTCTACCGTTCCCCAGTTATTCTTCCTGGTTTACTCAAACAGGATTTCAAAGTCTTACGCCGCGGTCTAACCATAATGGGTCGTGTTTCTTCTATTCCTGTGAATGAATTAGCAGTAAAGCTTTCTGAGTATCAAGTAACTTCCTGTGTGAAATTTGCTGAGAGGATTCTCACTGATCCTGACCACCCATTGCATGCAGAACTGCCACTTTGTCGTTCCCATCATTCAACACGCTCCCCATTCCGCCAAATTTCATCTCGAAATAATGCATACCACAATTCACCGATGCCGTATCTTGCTTGTTTACTCATAAACAATAAGTGAACTTTATCTTAACCTTTGATTATGAAATGTCCCCATGACTGTAGAAACGTATCTCCCCGTTGATTATGTACATTGTGACGGTTAGCGTGTATGATTTTTTTAAACTGAAATGTGAGTTCCAGTGCTCGCAAAAGTTATACACAATACACAACACAGTACTGAATACCCCGTTCAGATTCTCTTTTTTTGCTCTCTCGTGCATTATCGCGCCTTAGTAGCCCAGACTGTGAAATAGGGAGGGAATCCAGCTTTCAGTCTCTCTCTCTCGCTCTCTATTCTTTTCTTTTAACCGGGATTCCATTCTCCCGCAAAGTGGAAATCTCCGGAGTTCGTTTATTATGCAACAGCAACAATTTTCGCAGATTGGCATTATAATTCAGTTGCGAGAGTGCGTACTGTAGATATTGTAGGTGATCTCTATGCGTGGGTCAAATCCCACCGAAGTAAATGGTCTTTTTGCAGTTGAAACGAGACAACTTTGTTCTATTAGTTATCAAACACCATTCTTGTATGAGTGTGTTCTCTCAGTCGTTTTCGTTTGGCGCCAGAAATCACAACTACCATGCAAGAGATTTTCTTACGTCGAAATCGAGATTGATGTTATTCCTTGGACTTGCTTGCCGACCTACATTCTCATACTAATGATTGTCACCAATTTCGTCAACATTGAATTCACTTGACTTGATGCTGTGATATTGGGTCGATTGATTCGTTGCGGCTTTCTTGCATACTTGAAATTTGTTTTATGTTAGCCACAATATTTTATAACAGATCTAATC